TTGTTGATGGATCCACAATTTCAACAGGTACAGCTTTCTCTTTGCTTCTTCTATTGAATTTCGCTCTTTCATAAATAACATTTTTTTCCTATGAAATAGTCCTGAAATTTGGACACCACTAGTTTATAGTCATTAATTTGCGCTTCACTTAAATTAAATAAGATCAAGATTTCTTCTGCTTTATCGCCCATTATGTAAATCAGAGCATTTACTTGCTCATTTTCACTTTTCTCTGAAAGTCCTGAAGCGATTCTGTATCTTTGAAATCTTTTGAACCATATCGGCCATTCATTAGGTTTGCCGAAATTGAATCCTTCTGGAGCAGCTACTTGTATATAATTAGCCATTTTTTTCATTTTCTTAAAAAAAAATTCTTATATTTCAACTTTATAATTTTGAAAATTGCTTTTACGCTTTTACCGCTTTTACGCTGCCACCATGTTTAGTTTCTTCAAGGAATCGGGCTACGATGGTGAACACTTCTTTATTTAAGAACGTAACTTTCCTGACTAACTGACAACATTAATTTGTCTCTATTTATAACCTAACTCGAGCGTCTATATGCAAAACCATATTTACATCTGAATATGTACAATTACATCACAGCATCAAGTAAGGAAGAATTAAAACATACTTTTAAAAAAAGAGTTTAATACAATAATTTCAGAAGTGCATATATACAATTATTGCAGAAATAGATACAAACCATACTTCTCTCTAAAAAAAAATACAATGATTTCAGACATAGGAAAATACAATACTTTCAAATATAGACTATTAAAATACTTTTAAAAATAGATAAATACAATAATTTCAGAAATATGAACAGATATATTAATACACTGGGAAAAGGGAACTACTTAGGATCCAATTTTAGGGTATATTATGGGATATATTTACATATGTCAGTAATATGTTGGTGTATATACCTGTATAAATATTCAATTGTTTATGTTGTTCACTTATATATATATATATTTATATATATAATTTACTATATTTATATCTTCTCGAGTTGGATATTATCGTGTTGTTTGATTATTCTGACTTCTTCGAAAAATTCTCTCTCTCTCTCTTGTTATAATTTTTTATTGAAAATCTATTTTTAGAATCGATTATAAAAAGTGGCCATATTTACATAATTATGTAATCATTAATTCAAAGTTGCAACATTTCCAGAATAAAATTAATCATTTGACATCTCTCGTTTGCACTAAAATGTTCACAGATTAAAATTTTGTTATTTATCATGACATCTATTTTAACTTTGAAATTTTCCAAAAATATATTTTGTCTTCATTTATATAAATTATTCAGATCTAATTTTGTTATCTGAAGTAGGGGTTTAAGTCTGAATTTTCTATAAAATTTTTATAATTTGAGTTTAGAGATTTCTGATTATAAAATATACTTGAAAGGTGATTTACTTGACGATTAGCTAACCTGGTTTCTGATTTTCACTCCATGAACCCGGGTTGCCTCTAGTTTCTCTTGTTAACTTGGTTTCATAATTTCAGCTATTGAGAAAACGACCGTTGAGTTAGTTGATAGGTATTCTACAATTGTTTGAAAATATACATTGATAGTTTCTATTGGAGCTCTAATTGTTTACTGCTGTGACACAACATTCTACGCCCCAGCTGACATCATTGGTTGGAACGTGTGGAAACATATTTGTCTTAAATAAATATTCAGATTTTCTAAGGTACTTGTACAAATTACAAAAATAATCACTTTAAAAAGAAGGCCACAATTTTAATCCAAATAGATGAAAAAAAAAACACTATGCCCTATCGTATATTGCAACTATTTTGAATTATTTTCCTAGAGTATCAATTTCCTCATAGGTAAATTTCCATTAATAAATTTTTCCTTGGTATTAGTGTAGTGTCAAATTGTTGATATTTAATTTGTATGTTGTTACTTTGTATGTATTCCCATTCTATGTACTATAAATCGACATTTTAACCCTAAACATACTATTTTCTGGTGCTACCAAGAACTATCAGCGTTTGGAGGAATTTTTTCAGTTTATTTAATATTAAGGAATGGAATTTCTCCCTATAAATAATAGAAAATTTTCGAAAAATTTCGTAGTGTCACTTATTCATACTGCAATGTGTTTCATAAAATTTTTCACTAATTTCTAAAAAATAATAGTGCTCGCGATCATGTTTAATAATTAAATTGAGAGTTGAAAGTTCCTTATACACGTTTCCTCAATATTTTCTTTCACCAATCTGGCTGAAATTTTTAAAAGTTATAAAGTTAAAAAGGTACATTTGTCACATTTTTAACAAAGGAAAATCAAATTTACCAAATACGGAACTAATTTAATTTTATTTTTAGTCTGAAATGTTGTTAATATTGTGGAATCATAATTGGTGGGCAGAAACAAGATTTTATTCCATCAAACAATCAATCGAACAGAACATGGGCGAAGCCAGGTCATATATATTGTGTAGATGATTGTGAAGAGTACAAAATAATTTGGCATTCTACATGAATTATGAACTCATACTCTAGGTTGAGGTTTCAGAATTTTCAGTAGAAATTACAAAGTCGAGGAGTTAGCTGGGAATGAACCATACTACTTTCTTACCCAGTGATGAGCCATACCACTACTCAGAAGTTGCATATTGGATATTTGAAAATTAAACAAGGGCTGAAGATTTCGAAGACATCACTATGTAAACCTTCCATCTATCTTCCTGTATATTTTAAATGGAGCATTTCTTTTATGAATAAATTACATTCCTTCTGACTAGAAATTTATTTAAATCGTTAATACTTTAACAAATAATATTTTGATGGTGAAGAAAACAGCTTGATTGGAAGTAATAGTGATAAACAATAATATCAACAATAAACATTTCTTCATATGTAAAAAGAGAATAGAGAAGGCTGGCAAAAAGAGGGAGAAAAAGTAAATTCTAACAGGAGACCTATTGAGACGGCTAAACAGAGAAGCAGATCAAGGCAGTAGAAGGAAACGAAACATCGCGGTACCGACCTTCCCCTTCACGGTGGTAAGGGAAGAAGAAGTGATTTTTCTATGGCATAATCATATGATTTTTTTCAAAAGAGCTTCTCATTCTCAAAGTAACTAGGCAAGCACAGACTTTTTTAAATACATGTATTCAATAATATACACTCATAGACAAAAGGAAGTTTCATATTATAGGCATAAACCACTCCTCATTTGCTTATATAAGGGTAGATCTACCTTACATATAAATTCGAACGCTCTCCTTAAAAAGAAATTTACGTATAATCGAGTGATTAGGGTTGAACACGTATCGCACTCGAAAAAAAGTAAAATGTGCAGGCATTTGATGCACTTATAGTGATTATTGTATTCCTACTTGATATTTTACCAAGGATAAAACAATCAATGGCTACAAGGCTGGATGACATATCACGAGGAAGAACGATCGGGAGGATGGGGCAGCCACAACGGGAAGTCATCAAGTTGTTCAACGTGTCTGAAGCGGGATATCTCGTCTCTGGAGCCAATTCCAAACTACATGGACTTGTTGCCAGATGAAAGCTGGGGACCGCCACAAGCTGACAACCCCGAGTGACGACCTGGCTCTAACAGTCTATGGTTCACGGAAGATGTCGGCCCGCCAACTCTCCCTGGAGCTTGCCACGGTCATTAGCAGAATTGTATCCTGGAAAACCGTCTCACGAAGGCTTGAAATGCAAGGTCTTTACGCTAGGAAGCCTGCAATATGCGTTCCTTTGACCCCACTCCAGAGGAAGCGCCGCCTTGCATGGTGCAGAGAACACATCAACTGTGACCATGACCATGGAGTCGGTTCTGTTCTCAGAAGAATCCAGGATCAGCCTGAATAATGATACCAAGGCTCCTTAATTTGGAGAGAAAGGAGAACGCACTACCACCCCTCAAACATCGTTCACGTTCTTACAAAAATTTTATCCCTAGTACACTTGGTACAGGGCATGATAATCATGGTGGGTAGAAGGCGACTGCTTTTACTGAAAGTGCACCACATGTCTACACATGTAAAAAGCAGTTCGACTTTGCCCTAAAAATGTGCCAAAGTCCCGTTTGGTTACTTGCACGGGGGCTATTGGAGCTTTTTTTTTTTAATCTGAAAAAAAAAAACAATTCCCAGAATGACTTTCATAAATTCAAAATATATTTTAGGTTCTTACAACATTGTTCTACTAACCATAAGATTATTTTGATTTCGTGAAAGCCATTCTATTCAAATAGACCCAAACTAGGTGTTGATAGTAAATATATATATATATATATATAAGTTGAATGTACACACACACACGACATTTATTCAAACATAAACAAACAACATATAAAGAAATACAATGTCACATAAATTGCCATAAATAAATAACCCTCAACACACACCAATATCTAAGTAAATTACCCGCGTACATTTCTGAGATAACTGTGCTGCTACCATAGGAACCCACAACTAAATAAATGCTACAATGTTTATTGTGATAACCCTGTGTTCTAATAACCATAGGAACCGGCGACTTAGTAGGGTGCCTTAAATAAATTACTTTTAACTTTTGGCTACTAATTATAAACATATTTTAGTTTTAAGAGAGCAATACTGGTTAAATAGAGCCGATCTATGTTTGAATAGTGAAAAGAAAAGATCAAAGTTACAAAAATACGACATTTATTCACTTCACAACAGCTAAAAAGTAAAATAAAAAAGGAATTTTGGCTTGGTTCCAATGATATGGTCTCCTCCAGGTACAAGGGAGGGACTTCAACTGGGGTCCATTTCGGGCCTCTATGACGGCGCCGGACCACCAGGTACAAGGAAGGGACTTAGGGGTCCATTTCGCGCCTCTATGATGGCGCCGGACCACCAGGTACAGGGAAGGGACTTTAGCAGGGGTCCAGGACGGGCCTCCTACGGCGACGTCGGACCAGAAAGAACAGTCGGAGACTGAACCAGGCCACCAGGGCCAGCTGCAGGCAGGTCAGGGCCATGTCGGGCCTCCAGAACATAAGGGCGAAGATGTCCTCCTCCACGGGACTCCTCGCTATGGCCTCAGGCCGTCGAATTATCGGGCGCATCTCTCCAACTCTCAGGAACACGAGCAGAACAACTCCAATCAGGACAGCCATGGTCGTTTCTATATCTCAGGGCAGTGAGGAGTAACTTGTGAGAGTTTCTTTGTTGTTTCTAGGGAAACCAACTTTATAACAATGAAACGATTTCCTCAAATTTTATAGAGAATTTATTTCTCAGATTCTGAATAGTGTTATGATATTAATTTGAAAGAATATATTGAGATATATATTCGGGTCAAATATAAGAATTCCCTGTAAACATTGTATACTGGATTGAAATATTTTAGATAATTCTGATGAAGGAATTAGATAAAGTTTTCTTTCCCAAGATATACTTATACAAATATAACTTTTTTTGTTAATTCAACCCTTAGTTTAAAATTCGAGTGAGAGAACCTAAAAATCATTTGTATTTGAATTGTATTTAGAGAAATAAGAAATAAGACAAAGCGAATCTGTTATTTATTTTTTTTGCGAACACGCAAACACGCTTGTTCGGCGGTACATATACTAAAATTGGAACACTTTTTATCATATTATTCTAATAGATGAATAAAGGAATAACAATTTCTGATGTTATATTTTATTATATGTGTATAATATAACGTGTGTGATGGATATATTAAAGCTTAAAGTCCTATATTGGTTAATAACTCACTAGAATATATTATTATTATTACATACAGTAAAACCTCCATGAGATAACGCTCCCGCTTGTGGATGTTGTTAGTTTCTGTGCTGGGAGCATTGTATGTTTTCCCACGTGCCGCGGCGGAGCGTGACCGGGCCTGCGCAGGTACGGGGAGAGATTTTTTTTTTTTTAACTTTGTATGGATGGACATTAAAACATGGTGGCAGCGGTGACTGGATAAAATACGAACCCGATATTGCAAAATATCGATTTTTGTGTAACTTGGAAGATAATACAACATGGCTCAGATTCAACCTCCAGAAACTTTCGACTTCTCGACTCTCAACGAATGGCCCAAATGGAGAAAGAAATTCGAACAATACCTCGTGGTCAGTTGAATGAAGAAGAAAGAGGAGGCGGACAAGATCGATTTGTTCATGTACTTGATGGGTGACCGCGCAGATGGTATATCCAGGACCTTCAAGTTCGAAAAGGAGGAAGAGGCAAAGAAAATTGATTCCGTCCTCAAGGCGTTCGACAGCCACTTCTGTGTCAGAAAGTATATTATCTACGAACGTGCGAAATTTAATTCAAGAATCCAAGAGGATCGGGAGCCAGTGGACGAATTCATCACTTCATTGTAAAAATTGCTGATAGTTGCGAATTTGAGGGTCTACGTGAGCAGTTGATCCGTGACCGAATAGTGGTTGAAGTGAGGGGCAAAGCTTTATCTGAAAGAATGCAGTTGGACAGCGAACTGACTTTGGAAAAGGCGGTGAGAATGGTTCAACAGCAGGAAGCCGTTCGACAGCAGCAAGTCGACCTGCAGCGTCCCTCAACAAGCCAAAAGGTCAATCAGGTGAAGTTCAACTCGAAGAAACAATCACCGAAACAACAACAGCAGCCTTCGAGGAAGAAGGAGAAGACAGCCAAAACAAGATCACGATGTCCAAAATGCGGAGGTGTCACCCACAGGGAAGGACAGGCTTGCCGTGCTGAAGGACAAAGATGTAACCTATGTTCAAAAACTGGCCATTCTGCAAATTGCTTCCCAGATAAGCAGGCGAAGACTGCGGAAGTCAAAGCTGTTTCTGATTTTGATGAAGAAATTGGTTTTCTCCTGGAGGTCTCAGCTGTGGAGGATTCATCTAATCTCGATGATGATGAAGGCGAGTGCAGGAGGCGATGGGCAGCAGAAATCCAAGTGAACGGGAAACAGGTGAAGTTCAAGCTCGACTCCCAGGCGGATGTTACATGTGTTCCTCTATGTCTCTTCAAGAAGATAATGGGAGAGCAACGACTAGTGGAAAGTGATATCAACATTAGAGCTGCTGAATTTTCCGAACTTCAGACTGTGGGTATGTTTATATCTACGCTGCGAAATGGAAATTATGAAATCAAGGAGAAGATTTATGTCATTCGTCGTTTGAGTGAACCTCTTCTGAGTCGCCGGGCATGTGAGCTCTTGAACCTGGCGAGGCGGATTGAAGTGGTTGCGACGAGAATTAACCCGATCAAGAAATTCCCTGAAGTATTTGAAGGACTGGGACAGATTGGAAACCCATACGAAATCAAATTGAAACCTGGAGCGAAACCATATGCTGTGCATACTCCTCGACGGGTACCAATACCTTTGATGGAAAAACTCAAAACAAGATTGGAAGAGCTAGAGAAAGCGGGAATCATAGCACAAGTTAACGTTTAGACTTAATGGTGTCCACCGACTGTGATTGCTGGTAAACCGAATGACGACATACGACTCTGTGTGGATCTCTCAAGGCTGAATGAACATGTACAGCGCGAAGTGCATCCCATGCCAGTGGTGGAGCACATGCTAGGGCAACTGGGGGAAGCAAGATTCTTTTCGAAACTGGACGCGAACAGTGGCTTTCTCCAGATTCCATTGAGCCCGGACTGCCAGCATTTAACGACCTTCATCATTCCTTTTGGGAGATATAAATTCTGCAGGATGCCATTTGGAATCTCACTCGCCCCAGAGTATTTTCAGAAATTTATGTCAATAATCTTGCAAGGCATGGACGGTGTAATGTTTTACCTGGACGATATCCTGATATTTGCCTCCGACTCCAAGACTCACGATCGAATTCTTCGTTTAGTGCTCCGAAAACTGAAAGAGGCGAAAGTTACACTGAACAAGGCCAAGTGTGTCTTCGGCGTGCCAAGAATTTATTTTCTTGGGCGCATACTGGATGAAGACGGTATTCGACCAGATCCAGCGAAAATCGAAGCAGTGATGAAGATGCCTGCTCCGACCGATGTTCATGGCGTAAGAAGATTTCTTGGCATGGTGAACCATCTGGGACGCTTTGTGGAAAATTTATCTGAAATTGTGGCTCCATTGAACCAGTTGTCGGTGAAAGGTCAAGTCTTCGTTTGGGATTGCAGCCAGGAGCGAGCATTCCGAAAGTTGAAAGAATTGCTCTCGACTCAACCCATCTTGGCAGCATACGACGTCAGGAAACCAACTATGGTGTCATCCGACGCATCTTCATACAGCTTGGGAGCGGTACTGAAGCAAGAAGGTAAGAATGGAATCTGGCGACCTGTTGCTTATTCTTCTAGAACTATGACACCTACCGAAAAACGATATGCTCAGATCGAGAAAGAGGCTCTCGCAATTACATAGGCTTACGAACGTTTTCAAGATTTCCTGCTTGGAAAGCGTTTCCGAATTGAGACCGACCATAAGCCTCTCATTCCTCTATTTTCGACGAAAGAATTGAGTTCGCTAACCCCAAGACTGCAACGTTTCCGAATGCGTATGATGAGGTTTGGATTCGAAATAGTGCATATCCCTGGAAAGGAGCTGCTCGACGCCGATGCATTATCCAGACAACCACTTCTTACAACCGAGGGAGGTGAAAACGAACGGCCAACCTCAGCGCATATAAATGCAGTTCTCTCGTGTATAACCGACAAAGACGAGATGCTGACGAAGATTTTTGAAGCTCAACAAGAAGATACGACCCTGAAAGCAGTAGTCAACTACCTTGAGTAAGGCTGGCCAGATAAGAAGAAGATGGCACAGGCTCTGCTCTCTTATTGGCATGTCAAGGATGAACTCGGCGTTCAAAATGGACTACTGATGCGTAGCTGTCGTCTTGTTATTCCAGCAAGTATGAAACTGGAGATCCTAGATAAGTTGCACGCTGGGCACTTCGGGATTACAAAAACAAGACTTCGCGCACGGGAGACGGTATGGTGGCCTGGAATTTCGGAAGAGATCGCGGAAACGGTCAGAAAGTGCAGTGTCATATCCAGGAAGCCGTCTCAAAACATGAACCTTTGATACCAACCAACTTTCCTACACGACCGTGGCAAAAGATTGGAATGGATTTGTTCAAGTTCGAGAATAAGTGGTATCTAGTCGTCATTGACTATTATTCTCGCTTTCCTAAAATAATTCAGCTGGATCGGCTCACAGCCAATGTGGTGGTGCGTAGTTGCAAATCCATATTTGCCCGACATGGAATACCAGAAACTGTTGTAAGCGATAATTGGACGCAATTTGGAGCTGCTCGTGAATTTGCAAATTTCGCAAGGCAGTACGGATTCACACATGTCACTTCAAGTCCTCGATTCCCGCAGAGCAATGGGATGGCAGAATCAGGTGTGAAAATTGCTAAGTTGATCCTCAAGAAAATCAAGACCCATCACTTGGACTCCTGGAGTATCGATCGACCACTTTGGAGAACGGTTACAGCCCTGCTGAGCTTCTCATGGGACGTAAACTCCGAACGACCTTGCCAATTGCACCAGAGAATCTTAATGCAAGATTGGTGGACTCTCAGACCACGAAAAGAAAGGAGGGGAGAAGGAGAAAGGATATGAAATCCAGATATGATCGACGCTGCGGAGCTACGGACATGGAGGAGCTATCCGAAGGTGACACGGTTTGGATTACAGATATGCGATTCTGGGGGATTGTAAAGCAGAAAGCATTGACCCCAAGGTCATATATGGTTGATACTCCAGTTGGGACTGTACGTCGAAACAGGTTCAATCTGCGAAAAGGAGATACAGTGCAATATCCAGCCGACCCATCGACGCCGGAATTTTCGGGGGAGGAACTGGTTGAAAATGAAAAGACCCCAGTTGTGGATTATCCCTCTAACGACTCAGAAGACGGCCAGATAAGAACCCGGAGTGGACGAATTGCTAAACCCCTGGATTGTCTTCATTATTAATTATATTTTGCATTTAAAGTTTTTTTTTTTGCAATGTACAGTAATCCCTCGTTAAGACGAACTCAACGGGAGAACGAAATACCCTTTTCGTCTTAAAAGAATATATACCAAATTCGTATAAACCGAATTCGTATTAGACGAATTG